ATTCGGATCTGAAGGTTTTGGAACTCCGCCAAGAACTCCGACAACCCTTGGAGCGGCGTGTAATGGCCGGTCCGCGCTACAGCCACCTCGCCGCGCTGACCGCAATGTCCAGCTGTCGAGCTGACAAAGCGCCTGCGCGACTCGCTGGTCAAGATACGGCGAACTAAAGTCATACAGCAAGCAGTTCCGTGTCGAGGTCGCGTTCGTAGGTCAGGCTAGAGGGAATAGACGAAACTCGACACGCGAAATGTTCAAGGATGTCTTCACGAAACGCATCGTGTTCGACAGTATGATGGATATGATGGATCAGTTCGCCGACGAAATCGGCCGTGGGGCCCTAGAGAAATAGGATTAGAAGGCCGTCGACGGCTTGACGCAGTTTCTTGTGTGCTACGCCAAGTAACGGAGAACCTTGTCGTCGACTACGAAACGACCCTGCACATGGAGTCGCTCTCGGTCGACATGCTGTTGAAGCACTGCGGCGCCAACGACCAAGTTTTGCAATCAATGGGTCTGTTGCCGAGAGGAAGGAGATGAACGAGGAGTACCGCTGCAAGCTAGTCAAGTGCCAGTTATCATCGCCAGATATCTGATTCCGCAGATTGCCTAGTCGACGGACGCCGCCGAGCGCCAACGCCTCGTCAATCTCGTCCGCGACGTTCCCCAGACCCGCTGCGCGACTCAGGTGAGCCACCATAGAGTCGCACTGAGACCGGTAAACGACTTCCTGTTTGCACCGATGTTCCAGCATCCTGGCGTCGGACCATATATATCGTGCATAAATATCAAAAATAATTAATGTAGTTTGAAAACATCTTTAAAAATTATCCTAAAATAAATATAGAAATTTCAAAAACGATGAAATTGGAGGTCTCCGATTAGGTGATTTGAGTGTCAATTTCAAACGCTGAAATGCCCAGATCCGTCCTCCCAATCCCAACGCTGTTACACAGTTAAATCAAGGGTTAAGCTCCTCCATGCATTCGAAAAGAACCCTCAGCGCGGATGCGTTTCGTACCAAGAGGGCTTATTTCGTTCTACGTGGCAAATGTGATGGAGCAAGAAAGACAAGTACGTCGCACCTCTTAGCAGAAAAGACATTTCCAAACTTGGCGGCCAAGGAAGTCAAGTGCTCGCCGCGTTTGGCACAGACGTCTTACACTTCGTGAAAGACGTGCGAAAAACAGTCATGTGCTAACAACTGCACCTATGGCGACTTGGTTGTAGAACCAATTGACCCCTGTGAATTCACGACTACTGCACCGCGAAGTCGACGCCAGAGTGACCATACCAATCGCTCTTGCGCCTATGCCAGCGGTAGCACACTGTAATGAATTAACCCTGGGCGTGCCTTGCCACTCAAACCGAGGGCGTGCCTGGTCACTCGAACCTGAAGCGTGCGGAGTTTGAGTTCGTTCAGATGACCTATGCGCTTCTTTCTGGACCAAGGATGGTGCGCATTCATTGTGTAACATGTCTACATCGACGAAACAGCTGTCTAGTATGGCATGCCACTCTATAACA